TCTGGCGGGGCCATACGATAAGGCGGAATAGAAATGGGCTGAGCGCCCGGAGCTAGATCGATGCAGAAATCAATATCCCTGTCGGGTGGCATACCCGGCAGGTCTGAAGGAAAAACATCAGGAAAACCACGAACAACGGGCACAGAATCGATAGAGGGAACCTCAGCACTGGAATCCCGAACATAAGCTAAATAAGCCAAACACCCCTTCTCGACCATACGCCGAGCCTTCACATAAGATATGACACTGCGGGTAGAATGACCTGGAGTCCCTCTCCACTCTAACGAGGCATACCCGGTAAAGCTAAGGTCACGGTCTTGGCATGGCAGTCCAAGATAGCGTGATAGGGTGATAACCAGTCCATCCCCAATATGATATCAAAGTCGACCATATCTAAAAGAAACAGATCTACACGAGTCTCCAGACCCCCAATCACCACAACACAAGAGCGATGGACTCGATCGACCACGATGGAATCACCCACCGGCGTAGACACATAAACAGGAATACCCAATGCATCACTAGGCATGATCAAATACGGGGCAAAATAGGATGACACATACGAATACGTAGACCCAGGGTCAAATAGCACTGAAGCATTTCTATCACAAACCAGAATAGTACCTGTAATGTCTGCATCTGAAGACTCAGCCTCTGGCCTGGCTGCTGGCTGGCCTCCACCTCCGACGGCCTGAGCTCCACCTCTATGACCTCTACCTCCACCTCTAACACCCCTGCCACCGCCTCTAGCTGGCTGAGCAGGCTGTGGAACCTCTGGTGCCTGAATCCTAGTACGAGAACTCTGATGCTGAACGCTGCTCGAAGCTCGAGGGCAAAATCTGACAATGTGCCTCGGGTCACCACAAGCGTGGCAAGACCTCGACAGCTGCAGCTGAGCACCCCTCAACCTCGGGCAAGCCCTCTTGAGGTGACCATGCTCACCACACTCATAGCATCCACGCGAATGCTGAAGCTGAGGAAACTGAGACTGACCCTGTCGACCTGAATGGCCACCTGAAGTACCATGAGTGACCTGGAGAGCTGACTGAAAGGGCCTAGGAGGATGGCCTCTACCATAAAAACCTCTACCTCNCTTCCTACTCAAAGCATCGGCCACCACATTGGCCTTTCCCGGATGATATAAAATGGTGGTATCATAATCCTTCAACAACTCCAACCACCTCCTCTGCCTCAAATTCAACTCCTTTTGCTTGAACAAATACTGAAGACTCTTGTGATCAGTGAACACCTCACACGCCACGCCATACAGATAATGCCTCCAAATCTTCAACGCGTGAACTATGGCTGCCAACTCCAAATCATGAACCGGATAGTTCTTCTCATGAATCTTCAACTGCCTCGAAGCATAGGCAATGACCTTGCCATCCTACATCAACACTGCTCCAAGCCCAACACGGGAAGCATCACAATAGACTGTATACGGTCCTGAATCTGTGGGCAAAACCAACACCGGTGCCGTAGTCAGAGCTGTCTTGAGCTTCTGAAGGCTCGCCTCACACTCATCCGACCATCTGAACTGGGCACCCTTCTGGGTCAATCTGGATACCCTCTGCTGACACAACATGACCCAGGAATGCAACTGAACTCAACCAGAACTCACACTTCGAAAACTTGGCGTACAACTGACTATCCCTCAAAGTCTGAAGAACCACTCTAAGATGCTGCTCGTGCTCCTCTCAGCTGCGGGAATATATCAAAATATCATCATGAAGACTATCACGAACGAATCTAAATAAGGTCTGAACACTCGGTTTATCAAGTCCATAAAAGTTGCTGGGGCATTTGTCAACCCGAATGACATAACCAAGAACTTATAATGCCCGTACCGAGTACTCTGTAGCCTCTGGGGGATAAATACAGACATCTCCGTACCAATCCCTCAAACTCTACTAAGTTTGTCCGTGAGTTGTGAGACCTATGTAACCTAGAGCTCCGATACCAACTTGTCACGACCCGAAATTTCCCACCCTCGGGAGTCGTGATGGCGCCTACTCGTAAAAGCTAGGCAAGCTAAATTATTAATTACTTTCCGTTTACAATATAATCCCTTTTAGCAATTCATGGCAACAATATAAAAATAATGAAATTAAATAGTAGCGGAAGTCTTAATTATAGAAACTGAATCAACATGCGGAATAGTCAATATAATCCTCTACCCAAGACTGGTGTCACAATACTCACGAACTGCTAAGGATTACTAAACACAAACGTCTGAAAGAAAACATAAGTTGTTTGTCTCGAATACAATGAGGCAACAAGCTAAAAAGAGAAAATAAGGGAGACGCCGGGCTTGCGGACGCATGCAAGGCTACCTCGGGTCTCATCGGACTGAAGGCCCACTCCCGTACTAATGCTGCTGCTGCTGCTCGAAACCTGGACCTGTGCAAATAGCACAGAGTGTAGCATCAGCACAACCGACCCCATGTGCTGGTAAGTGTCTGGCCTAACCCCGGCGAGGTAGTGACGAGGCTAGGACCAGACTCTAGATAAACCTGTGCAGATATATATATACAAGTACAACAGAAAAATAGCAAGAAAATAATAATTTAAGCTGGGGAAGGGAGCATGCTTCAGGGTAACAGATAGATTCAAAATATCAGGAATAATGGTACGTACATCTACAGTTTAACTTCTAACAATAATGGAAAGGTAAAACAGCTTTCATAATCAACTCATCTTGTTGCAGGAGTGCAACCCGATCCTATTTCTCAATATCTCGTGGTAGGCGTACCACCCGCTCCCATTTCAATGTAACTCGTGGTAGGCGTACCACCCGCTCCCATTTCGGTATCACTCGTGGTAGGCGTACCACCCGCTCCCATTTCAATATATCATTTGTGGTAGGCGTACCACTCGCTCCCATTTCAATATCATTTGTGGTAGGCGTAACACTCGCTCCCATTTCAATATATCATTTGTGGTAGGCGTACCACTCGCTCCCATTTCAATATATCATTTGTGGTAGGCGTACCACTCGCTCCTATTTCAATATCATTTGTGGTAGGCGTACCACCCGTTCCCAATTTAATATCACGTGTGGTAGGCGTACCACCCGCTCCCTTTACTTTCCACACAATACAAAATACAATCCCGGCAAGGGAACAATCAAATTAATACTCTTTCCCGGCAAGGGAACTATAACAACAAGTCAAACATCCCGACAAGGGAGAGTCAGCTATAACCAATCCTATTCAACTTTTTCCTGGCACAACTAATACCAATATTTAATCACAACGTTCATAGGATCAAACAAGGGTACACAATTATCAAATTAAAACTCACGGTCATGCTTGACACCGACGCATGGATACTCGTCACCATGCCCATACGTCGTACCCAACACATACAAGTAGCAATTATGACTCAACTCCAAATCCTCAAGCTAGGGTTAAACCAAACACTTACCTCGATGCCTTGAATTCCACTCAAACCTCAAGTATCACTTTACCCCGCGATTCCAACTCCAATCCACTCGAATCTAGTCACAAATTGCTCAATTACTTTAATAAACACTAAATGAATCAATTTGAATGCATAAAAATGAATTTCCCAAGTTTTCCCCCAAAAATTCCAAAATCGCCCCCGGGCCCACGTTGTCAAAACCCGAAGTTCAAACCAAAACCCGGTTACCCATTCCCCCATGAACTCAAATATGTAATTTGTTTTGAAATCGGATCTCAAATTGAGGTCCGAATCCCCAATTTATAGAAAACCTAGGTTCTACCCAAAACCCCCAATTTCTCCCATGAAAATCATTGATTTTAAGTTGAAAACATGTTAAATGATGTTGATGATTGAAAGAGTTAAGTAAAAATCGACTTACAAATGATTTGGGATGAAACTTGTTCTTGAAAAATCGCCTAAGGAGTTGTATTTTGAAAGTGGGGTGAAAAATGACTTAAAATTCGACTAAGTATGAAATTGCTGGGTCTCTGATGTTGCATTTGCGAACTGGGGTTCGCAATTGCGAACCCCGACCAAATTATGGGAATTGCGACCTCTGCTTCGCATTTGCGATGCCAGGCCTTATAGGAGACCTTCGCATTTGCGAACTTGGTCTCGCATTTGCGAAACTGGGAACTTCGCATTTGCGAAGAATATACTCGCATTTGCGATCGTAGTCAGGCCTGGGATGGTTTCGCATTTGCGAACCAGCCTTCGCATTTGCGAGTTCGCATTTGCAAACCAGGCTTCGCAAATGCGAAGCCTGCAGGCCTGTTCATACCAGATTTTTCCTAAGTTAAAAATGCATTCCGACGCCTATTCAAAACTCACCCGAGCCCTCGGGGCTCCAAACCAAATATACATACAACCTCAAAAACATCATACGGACTTATCCGCACGATCAAATCGCCAAATTAACATCATACATCGAATTAAACATCAAAATTCATAATTTCCTCCAAGTTTTCTTAAAGCATCAAATTTCCATTTTAAGTCTGAAACACGTCATACGACGTCTGATTTCAACCAAACTTTACAGAAAGCGCTTAAACCATATACAAGACTTGTACCGGGCACCGGAACCAAAATACGGGCCCGATACCACAGTCTTTTAATCAAATATCATTTTCATTTTCCTTAATCATTTCCAGAAAACAATTTCACACAAAAATTCATTTCTCGGGCTTGGGACCTCGGAATTCGATTCCGGGCATACGCCCAAGTCCCATATTTTTCTACGGACCCTCCGGGACCGTCAAATCATGGATCCGGGTCCGTTTGCCCAAAATGTTGGTCAAAGTCAAATTTAATCAATTTAATATCAAAATTTAGCATTTTTCTCACAGAATTCATATTTAAGCTTTCCGGCTACGCGCCCGGACTGCGCAGAGAAATTGAGGCAACCCTAAATGAGGTTTTCAAGGCCTCGGAAGCACAGAATGAATAAGAAAACAAGTGATGACCCTTTGGGTCGTCACAAAAACAAAATATATGAGCACAAATATATATTGAAAATTCAAATACTATTAACTTACACTTGCTTTACTAAAGAAATCATTGACAAGTGTGTCATATTTTGGACATCCAATGATGGAGTAAGACAACATCCTAATTGGCCCCCGATCCTCATATTTTGCAAATTGACGGAAATCATTAAAGACTTCCATTGTCCAGACATTAAATAAAAATGGGAATCCAACTGTCATATAAGATGCAATCCTACCAATTGTTTTCTTTTTGACTGATTTAGTTAATAGAAGATGAGACAAATTATCAATAAGATCTTCAAAGCAGAAACTGCCCCATGGAAAAGAAGCACAAAGTGCTGCATCGTCTATGATGATCACTTATATTTCTAGTAGGCTCTTTACCCAAAAGAACAGCTTCTACTGTATAAAGCTCAGCAAGCTTTATTGCATCTTCATCGCAGACCTCAACATCAACACTTATATCATCTGCTGCACCACTACGAAGTCGGGAACGCCTTTTCAAAAAATTATACAAATTCCCAACCTTCAAACCCTTCTTAATGTCAGAAAAATACAGTTCCTTCAAACGGTTCTCTCTATCATCAACGAAGCTATAATCAGAGGCATCAATCTTCAGCCCGGTAATAGAATGGAAATCATCTTCTGTAAATGCTACGTCGTTCCCAAAAACTCTAAAAACCATTTTGGTTTTATCCTTGTAAAATACTTGGGAAAGCAACATACAGTGAGTCAACTTACCAAAATGACCCACCTCATTCAATTCTAAAAATTTCTCAAATACACCATTCTTTAATTGATCCATTTGAGTTCCACACAAAAACGACGAAATAAGTTTCTTAAATTTCCGATCGCCTTTCCAATAACAATCAGCAGGAAACCACTGTTTAATGTCATAAAATCTATCTCCCTCCTAAAATCAAAATAAAACACATATAAGCAACATTTCATATAATTTTAAACTAAAAACTTAAACATTTCAGAAATACATACCTTCAATATCCTAGGTGAAGATTCCATTTCTATAACATCTAGAAAAAAAATATATTACAAATTATATAAGTAAGTATAATCAGATTCCAGAATATATATATATATATATATATGTGTGTGTGTGTGTGTGTGTGTGTGTGAAATAAATTATAAACAGAATTCATCCAGTAAAATGAACAGGACAACAAAGTTTAGAGATTACAGTCATCCAGCATAATATACTAGATCACAATAAATTAGAAGATATGAAACTAAAGAAAAAAATACTGGAGTAAACAGAAGAAACATAATAAAAAAGCAAAGTATAATAATCATCCAGTATAACATACAAGAAAAAAACTTCAGGATTATATACCGGAACAAAGATTGTAATATAAAAAAAGAAGACAAATAATCACCCAAAAAACAGTAATAACAGAACTTGTCTAGTATAATATACTGGAGACAAAGCTTACAAACAGCAGAAGTCCCATAAAATATACTGGGATGAAACAAGACTCAACTATATTATAATATTCATCCAGTATGACATACTGGAAGATAAACATACACAACACAGACTTCCAGTATAATATACTGGAAAATTTTTTACTAAATTTAATATACAAAAAACATAATTCAAAATGTACACAGTAGACGTCTACTATTCGAACAAAACAGACCTCCCGTAAAATATAATGGAATGAAATAAAACTCAATTATATTAAAATTTGACAAGAACTGAAGAAAAATGCAGATGAGACAAGAAAATACTTGAAAATTAAACCTAATATACAGATACTAGAAAAATTTTGGAAAAGAAATTACCAGAGTGACAAAATTACCAGAAATAAGACAAACTAATGAACAGAAAAAAGTTGTAAAAGTTATAATAGAACAAATATTTACACCCTAACGGTACGGAAATCAACAATAATAACGAAAATTAAACCTAAAAAACCAACAATAATAATGAAAATTCAAACATATTATCGTAAAAAACAACTCTCATCCATAATTTTGAAGAAAATTGGAGATAACCCAGAAAAGATTCGAAGAAAACTGCTTTCTCAGAAAAGCGAATTCGTACAATGCTACAAAAACAAAGAGAAAGACGATAAAAGATACTAAACAGTATATTAAACAGGTCAAGGGCAGTTATATTATTTTATCATATATTTTAAGTTAAAATGGCTGGAAATCGATTACATTTAGATCGGTGACTATTTTTCAATAGCCAACAGGAAAACTGGCTAAACCGTAAAATTTTAACGTTTACTCCATATTTAGAGAGGCAGACTTGGAGATGGCCTAATAAGCACAAGGTAACACAGTGAACCGTGGAGAAGTATTTTTCCGCTGTTGCAAACGTTAGTAGCAAAATAGCTAAATGGTAATGCTCATCAGATTCAGAGGCAAAGCAGCTCTAGCTCTATCCGCTCACAGTTCCAAATTTCACTGCAATGGCTCTGGACACCTCCTTTCCTTATACTGTTTCAGATCTCAATTTCTCTACTCAACAACCTCTACCCGTAATCGTATCTCAACCCATTTCTTGATTAAATACCTGGTTGATTCTCTAGGGTTCTCGAAAAAGGAAGCAATTTCTACGTCTTCCAAGCTAACTCCACAGAAAACCATAAAAAATCCCGATTTACTCCTCAATTTCTTGATACAAACCGGTTTTGACAAGACCCAGATTAAAAAATTGGTTTTTCGAGAACCCAGATTGCTATACCGTGATGTTTCCAGAACCCTAATACCCAAACGCCAGTGCCTTGTGGATCTCGGGTTATCCGGGTCGGACCTGGTGAGTGTAATTGCAAAAGATCCTAATTTTTTTGAGAGAAGTTTAGATACTCATTTAAGACCTACCATTGGTTGTCTCAGGAGAATTTTGGGTAGCGATGAAGATGTTGTTAAGGCTATTAAGAGAGCTGTTTGGTTGCTCTCTTTTGGTACCCATCATATTATGGAGACTAATGTTTTGTTGTTGAGAAACTATGGTTTTTCTGATTTGATGATAAAAAAATTTGTGCTTAGAAATCCTACTTCTATTACAAAAAACCCTGAGTGGTTTAAGGATTTGTTGCATAGGGTGGAGAAGGATTTCCGAGTTACGCCTGACTCCACCACTTTTCTATATGGATTTCGTGCGTTAGCCAGTCAAAAGAAGTCTACGCTGGAAAAGAAGATTGGTATTTTCAAGAGTTTTGGATGGTCTGATGATCATATAGTCGAGATGTTCAGTAAGCTACCTCATTGTGTTGCTTTCTCAGAGGTTAGAATTTTGAGAAAGCATGAATCTTTTCATGAAGGAGCTCAGTTTTGAACCTTCTACTTGGCTTCTCGTCCATCAATTTTGATCTATAGCTGGAGAAAAGGGTGATACCTCGGATGCAAGTCTTGAAAATTTTGGACGAAAAGAAGCTTAAGAGGAGAAAGTGGGCTCTTTATCCTGTTCTGGTGTTAACAGAGTCAAAGTTCATAGACTATTTTGTGCTACCCTACAAGGATCAGATACCTGATCTGTATGAATCGCACAAAAAAACTCTGGCTCCTTAGTGCTCCAAGATATTCACTTTATATATATTTAACTTATTTTTCACTCACTTTTATTTTATTTGATATGGTGATGATATGAGTTGAGCTTAAACAAAGAAGTGAGGTTTCATATAGCCGACTCCAACTTGTTTGGGTTTGAGGTGTAGTTGTTGCGTTGGCTCGAAAATGTCCTGTTCATTTTGCATTATTTGATAATATACTTAATTGGTTGGTTCTAAAAAGTGAGAAACCAGAAAATGGGAGGTTCTACGTTATCCATTAATTACGGGTGCGGGTGACTCCTCTACCTATTGCATAGGTCCGCTTCCGGTACAAATTGTTTAAAATTCAGGGCGACTCGAAGAAATGGTCCTGAGAGTGGAAATGGGTTGATATCTCTCTCTCTAGTTGGACTTATGGTCTATGAACGGAACTGCTGCTTTGCTTCGTAAGAGCCTTTGTGGACATGGTCATTACGAGTTTTGGCTCAGCTTGGCTATCTTCCCCAGAGACAGCTTTCTCATCTCAGCTTATAGAGGTTTGGTTTGGACAAAAGAATGGTTCCGATTAGTATTGTTGCATTTGTTCCGATTAGTTGCAGTGTTGTCAAAGGCGCGCTTAAAACACGCTTTTGTGGGCGCTTCGGTGTCGTATCAAGGCTCTAAGGTATACTTTTCATTGCTAATGAGTGTAATCCTAAAAATACCACACTAAACAATTGATATTTCCCTTTATCATAATTTTTTTTTTCAATTTCTTTGTCCATATATTGGTCTTGGACTGCATATACATATTTTTACTTTTTTTCAAGTTGCGCCATCTTTCGTTATAGCCCACATGTTATTTGAGCTTCGCGCTTGAAGCCCCGACGGACCTTAGAGTTTTTTGCGTTTTTTCACCTTTGATAACACTGATTATTTGTCTTGAACATCAGGCATCATTCATGCAGTTCGCTGAACTAAAAGTACCATACTTGCATGTGGAAATGATCATATTTTGACACAGTTAACAATTTGTTCTAAAGGCAGGTTCAAAGCTTAAAATGTGCACCATGGGTCTCCCTGCTCAGCTTATTTTCAGTATGTTATATGCAGTTGTTTTCTCCTCCCTATAATTGTTCAAAGGTAGCTCTGGCTATTTCTTTGCCTTAGAAAAAGAGAATGAGAGATCTGAGTGAGAACATTTTAAGTCAAACTTAATTTACAAAATTTACCCATCAAAATTTGAGTGACAATTTTACCCTTAAACAAAAATAATTCCTTCTATTAAATTACATGAATATAGTTAGCTGCATTTATTAATCGGATGAGTGGGAAAGAATTTTTTCATCTGCTAGTTATTATGATAGAGGATTTAGAATCTCTAAGACAATTTTTTTACCCGGATAAATAGGGGCGGATTAGAGTCCGTTTGGATTGGCTTATTTTAAGAGCCCGTTTAGACATACAATTTTTTTTCATTTTTATTTTCAAAAAAATTTTACTTTTTTCGAAATGAGTGTTTGTTCATAAACTTTCAAAATTTCACTTGAAAATGCATTTTCGAAATTTTCGAAAATTTGAGAACTCCAAAAAACTGTTCTTCAAAATTCACTCAAATCACTCACAAAAATTCAAAAACTACCAAACTGAAATTTATGTCCAAACACAACTCTTTATTTCAAATTCCATTGGAAAAAAAATTCACCATTTTTGGAATTTTACAATTCTAGTGTCCAAATGCCTACTAAGCTAGCGTTTGGCCATAGATCCCAAATTTATTTTGAAAAATCTGATTTGGGTGAAATTTGGTTTGAAGATGAAATTGTGTTTGGACATACGTTTTCAAAACATATTTTCCAACTTTATCTTGGAAAAACATGTATATAATTCCCAAATTTTAGGATTTTGGCCCAAAATCAGCTCAATACATCCCTTGTCACTTGGCCCAACAACCCATCAGAAAATGACCCATGTTTGAAGCCCTTACCCAGTATAGCCCAGGTTGTACATAATTTGAAAATTAATTTTCACCAGTTAGCTCACCCCTTATTTCTTCGTTCCCTTTTTTTCTTCGTTCCCCTTTTTTCTCCGTTCTTCTTTCCCATGTCAGCCTTTGCAGCATAAAATTTCTCTACTATTGTTATTCTCCTTCAATTCTTTTCCGAATTTCAATGGTTAACTAAAGATCTGAAAAATAAAAGTTGCCATTACAAGTGGTTCGAAGATTCGATTTCAGAAATTGAGTGTTCCGACTTGTTAGTTGTTTGGAATGCGTGTTGTCTCAATTGATTGGAATCATCAAGATGAGTTCAAAACTTAAATTTCAAGTGATTTAGAGTAGATTTAGGCTATATTTGAGTTAAGTTTTAGAAATTGAGTTTTTCGATTTGTTAGTTGTTTGAAATGGGTGTTGTCTCAATTGATTGGGATCATCAAGATGAGTTCAAAACTTAAATTTCAAGTGATTTGGAGTAGCTTTAGGCTATATTTGAGTTAAATTTCAGAGGATGCCCAAGGAAGAAGAAGAACACGTGAAGCTCCATTGATAGGATTCATTTGTATAATAATGTATAATATTGTATAAATACTATATAATAGTGTATAAACACAACTTATATACTATTATATCCAAGGTTGATACATTATTTACAGGTATTTGGTGAATTTCTCGCATTTTTTTCTTCTTCTCCTTCTCATTCTTCTTATACACCTATATACATAGTGTATCAAGAATATTTTCACTCTGTGATTATACATCTTTATACACTTTTATACAACTATATACATACTGTACCTCTTTGTATAAAAGTGTATAAGCATCGCTGACGAAATTTTTGTATGATTTTTACTTGCAATTCTTGTATAAAACTAGTCCAAATCTCCAGCAAATAACTTCAAACTTTGTATACAACCTACTTAGACTATTTATAATAAGTTCAAACAATACCCACTCCAAATCTCTCACAAAATCATAATCAAAATTTAACAAGATTAGCATTAAAGGAGATGAGATTTTAGGTTTCTCGCGTTTGTTTTTGCGTTTTGCAGTTGTGATAGGTATGTATAAACCTGAAGATATACAAAAAAATTTAAAAAAAATAAGAGAAGTATTAGTTATGGAAGAAGGCATGAATGAGTGATGACTGAATGGGGAACTAATTCTTCTTTTCAGTTTTGTTTGCAAATGATTCTTTTTCATTAATTAAATAAAGTACTTATGGGTGAAAAATAAGGAGAGAGCTACAATAGGGGTAGGTAGTAATAAATGAGGTTGTTATAATTAGAGGGATTGAAAAAAAAGAAAAGATCTTATTGATATTTGGCTACACATTTGCAAACTTATAACTGGGCTAAAATAGTGCAAGGTCAACTTATGGAGTGCATTATTCTGTAATTTTTCCTTTGAAATTTGGGATTTGAGATTTGGCCAAAATATGAGCAAAATTTATGTCCAAACATGAGTTTTGAAAATAAATCCCAAATTTATTTGGGGAAAACTCATGGCCAAACGAGGCATAAGTTCCTTTAAGCCAAAACCGCTTTTAGCCATTTTGTCGTGTTTGGATAAAGTAAAAAAGTGCTTTAAAGCACTTGTTTAAGCTAAAATGCCAAAAATAAGCCAAAAGCCAAAATCTAAAATTCCTAACTTATGGCTTTTTGCTTAAAAGTCACTTACACCAAGCCCATCCAAACGGGTCATTAGAATATTACTGTTTCACATTTCAACTTTTATTTGCTTGGTTCTTTGAGTTTTTAACGGTTACAGTAATAACTCTATATGCCTGGTCTTTAATCATACTTATAATATTGATGTTCTAAACGTAAATACCACACAAGAGGGGGGGTGATTTGTGTGGTACTCAATTTTTTGCTTAAACTGCTTCTGGAAGGACCTGGTTCTTCTAGGTGTACTTATTACTACTGTTTGCGGAATTAAAAGTACATAAAATAAAGAACACAGAGATTTTACGTGGAAAACACCTGGCTCAAAAGGTGAAAAACCTACGACCTACTACTCAGTAGGATTTTCCCAAACTCCCACTAAAATCACTAAGCCAAAACTGCATTTACAAAACTCTTTGTAAACCTAAGGATTAACTCTAATCCCGTTGTAGCAACCAGCCTCTAACTGCGGCGACAACTTCAAGTTAACTCTAACTTGAATACTCAATATACCTATTACAATTGCTTCTAGATAAAGCTGAAAGGTACAATATGAAACACCTACTACATTTGAACTAGAAATAAAGAAAGACACATAAAACTCTTTATGGAGCTGGTTCTTCAATCTGGTCCATGTAGCTTCTGGTTTGCACACTTGAATCACACACGAACTGCTTGCAAAAAGCCTTGCTATTTTGTTCCCAATTCACGTTTAACTTCTGCGTTTTTGTGCAACACTTTAATGTGAGAACATCCTGCAATTTATAGAGTTAGTAGATGAAGAAATAACTAGAGTTCTGATGCAACTCTTCCTTGGTGGAAGAGTTCTAGTTGATTTCAACTTCTAACTCCTTCCCTGTCTTGGATAGTGTTCTCTTTGATTAAGGACTCCTTTTCCTTATCAATTATGCAACCTTTTCGATCAGGAGATATTAAATACACCAAGTTAAGCTTATCTCCTTCACGTGCAACCCACATGCTTGAATCTGCCCGTTTTTGTGAACCTGAGGGATGGACCACTGGATGGACCTGGTTCATGTCTGAGTTCCTTTGTCAGTCTTCAAAACTAACCTTTACTTGGGCCAACAAACATGCTTTATTAAAGTAGACACCAAGCGTCAAATCACTTCATTACTGTTTACCTCGAAAAATAGAGTAACAATTAAATATAATTTGTGGTTTTAAAGATATATGATTTATTCCAATACTAGTGAATATACGAATAATATTAAGTTTAAGTAAAAAGAATTGATGAACCAAACTAGTATTGTTAGAGCAATAAGGACCTCGAGCTCGATTATCTCAGGGGCCTCGAGGTGAGCTAAGAACAATAAAGTAAAGACAATAAAGCTGAAAAACAATTGTTGAGCACGTTAAACAAGAAAAGCAGAGTAGAATGTTCTATTGCAGAGAATGAGATATCTTTACAAATGATGGGGGTCCCCTTTATATAGGAGGAGAAAAACCCTTAATATAGTACATTTCTAATTATGATAAAGAATTCTATTGGTACAGCTGTATAACGACCTAGTACAGACTTGCACTATTTCGTACAAACCTTATCCTATAATTTTATGCCCTGACTCACGTGTCCTTAAGAAATTCCCGCTCTTTCTTGAGTGCCCTCGAAATTGTATTGCCCTCGAGGTAGATCATGACGGGACACCGATTTGCTTCTCGAGGTGCACTCATCTGGGCCTGGCCCGATTCTTATTTCGAACTTCCAGAATTCGAACTCGGAGTGTAATCCAGTCTTAGATAATCCGTATTTCTTAGAAGGAAATGATATGAAACGATTTGGATTCCCGAAGTCCTTAGTGATGATGTCATCCCCATGATGCAAGCGTTTGAAGTGATCTAAACATCCCGCCGGTCCATTTCCCCAAAAGCATTGATGCATGCCAGTATTGGTTGGCCACTAACGCCGCCAAACCGTCGTTGCCCTTCTATAAATATGAGGTGATGCCCCTAAATAAAAAACTTTACTCCTTCTTCACTCCTTTCCTGGTTTCTTCTCTTTCTCTCACTCATTTCCTCCGCCTCTTGAAGCGACGGAAAAACGCCAAGCTCTTGCCGGAAACACCACATCCATGTGCGCCTGTAACACTTAGCTTTTAACCATGGCCAAAACTTCCAGGACGGTTCCCAAAAAGGACAAAGCATCATCTTCTTCTGCCTCCCGGCCGGCCAAACTGGTGGTGCCGCCAACGCTTAAGGAAATCACCCCCGGTAATTGCATTATTAAGAGAGACTTCGATATCGAGAATCCTTTCGATGTTGTAGGCGGATGCGAGCACGTATCCCGATACATTAGCTTGATAACGAAGCAGCTCACCAAGGAAGTAAAGGAGGAATGTCGCTGGGGAGACGAGGTTGAGGTTCATATCTTGAGCCCCGATGAAAGCATTACTACCCACAAGGAGGGGTTTTTGAGTGTTTACACTTACCCCTTCATACTGGGTCCCCTCGATCCGGTAATGATCGACTTCTGCAAAACGTATGAAATCACCCTCGCTCAGATTTGCCCTTCCTTCTGGCGTATCGTGATCATGTTGCGGTATTTTTCTAAAAAGGCCAAGGGTTTGGACTTCGCCCTCAGCCACCTGATTCGACTGTATCGGCCCCAGTTATTCCGAGGGCTCATCAAGCTACAACGCCGAACAACAAAATCCTTCTTCGCAAGCACTGACGAACCTAAAGATCGAGGTTGGATGAGCCGGTTTGTTAGAGTAAGAACTTCGGACGTCATTCCCGAGGATAAAATGCCGTTCCCGGAGAGGTGGAACTTTAACCGTAAGTGGAGTTCGTATTCCTTATACCTATTCATATTCTGCTTCTATGTTTCATAATGCTATCATCCTTCTTTTGGTAGCCAATGCTTGGGCGCCTCCAGCGATGCCCGACCTTGAGGATTGGGTCCGGAGGTTAGCTGCCACTTCATCCTACAGTGAGCGCAAGTGGCGTGAATTATCGAGGGGCCGGTGGGAGGCCAAGAACCACGGTAAGTGCCTTTCAGCAGTTTCAACACTTTCCATATATTAGCGGCGTTCTTACTTACTCACACTATGCATGTGCAGGCCTTGGCGATGCATCCGAGATGAGGCTGGCTCCGTCTGGGGAAAAAACCAAGCCTTCAAATCCAAAGTCTGAGAAGGACAATAAAAGAAAAAGGGTCTCGAAACCTGAAGACCCTCAAGACAAGAAAACCCCCGCTCGAAGGCTGCGGAAAAGATTTGCTCAAACGGGCGCAGACTCGGCCCATGACTCCCCGGATGATGGAGAAAATGATAACGAAGAGTCGGCGCTGGTGACTCAGACCAGAAAGCCAGTCGAGGTCGCCAAGCCTTCCGATCCGGAAACCTCGTCCTGTGGTGAGGATGCCCCGAATGAAGAAACGGGCAAGGCCCCTGCATCCCCGGAGGTTGAGATTGTCCCTCCGCCTTCAACAACCAAACCGGGGGGGTAAATGTTGAGTCCCTAAACGATAATGAGAACACCTCGAGTGAAGAGCTCCGGGCCGGGACAACGGGTCACTCCCTTTCATTGCCAACTTATTCTGAGGGGGCAATCGAAGAAGCCAACGCTATGCGTATGCCCGACCCAAACAAGGTCATCGAGTGGGGAGACAATTTTGCTTCGCAATCTATATTATATTAAAAGGAGAGTAGTGAAACATGTGTCAAGCTAAAATGAAGTCACTTGGTAATTTTAGTATAACATTAATAATTATAAATTATAAATGGAAACATAATTAGTGGAAGAAGTATGAAATATAGGTGTTTGAGTAAATTTTTAAATTAATACTTTGAGTAAATATATGTAGGAGAAAAAAGTATGAAATATTCTATTGACATTGTCGTTAAAATGAAAAAAAAAAATTCTTTTCCAAACATGTGATAGAGCAAAAAGTCAAATAAAAACTAAAAGAAAAAATCATTACGGGCAGAATAATATATGATCAGTGAGACTTGCTATAAAAAATTACATAATCAATGATATGTAAATCTATATAATTAAAGTCACAAAAATCATACCAATTTTACAAGTCTTTCATCACACAAATAAGGAAAACATTAGGTAAAATTTTGATTTATCTTTAATTTTAAACTTAAATAAATTTAGATTTTGATTTACGGATGTCGCACAGGAATAAGGAGATCATAAATAAAGATATTTGGACTACTGATTGACTTTAATGAAGTTGCGAATAATTATCATTTTTTTCCAATGGTATTATTTATTCTAATCCATATTTAGAAAATTAATTAATTGTCCTCATTATTACTGTATGATGTTTGTGTATTGGGAAAAATTGTATACATAAATATATGGTGACGTATCATGACACGTGGAATAGTCAATGGGTCATAATTGGTCCACGAATTGCAAACTGGCGCGGAAAAAAAAAAAAAAGATACGAGACAAAAGGACAAAAAGAGATATGAGACAAGAGGATAAAAAGAGGTACGAGACAGGAGGTTAAAGAAAGGTACGAGATGAGAGGCTCAGAAGCCCCATCCCTATTTAAGTTCAGCTACATACGAGCAACGGGAAGAATAATGAACCTGGCTAAAGGAAAAGATACAAATACAGTATTTCAAGAGTAATAAATGCTGAAACCGTTAAAGAATATTTACATTCAATGTAATGATTATGTAACATAGCATTTAATGTTAATAAATGCTCATAATAACCTCATTATCTTTTCCTGTTATATATACAGAAAATGTTTAAATTTACTCTCTATCCGTCTAATTTAAGTGATATCGTTTGATTTGACACAGAGTTTAAGAAGAAGAAAAAAACTTTTGATACTTGTGGTATGAAAGAGTAAAAGTTTTGCGGGGTCATACCATTTGTGTGGCTATTAAGAGTAAAATAGGTAAAATCAAAAGTTTAAAAGTTAAATTATTTTCACATACAAAAAGACGTTGATCATTTTTAAATAAATTAATAAGTAAAATATGTCATATAAATTGTAACGGAATACATAGTTATAGCTAAATATACTCGGCCGTACAAAATTGGGTCAAATATTCATTGTCAAAAATAAAATTGGGCCAAATATGTTCTTATTCCACATGTGAAATTCAAAAATAGCCATATTCATGAGTGATAATCCAAAAATAGTCACAATTTTAAAAGTAATCGAAATTTAGTCACTGTTAAAGATAAATCTGAAAGAAAACACTATTCAAAATCCGAAAAATATTCCAGCATAATATACTGGAGTTCTAGTATAATATACTGGACTTCCAGCATATATTGGAGTTCCAGAATAATATACTGGACTTCCAACATAATATACCGGAGTTCTAATATAATATGATGGACTTCCAGCAAAATATATTGGAGTACCAGTATAATATACTGGTCCAGCATGCTGGCACTATTCTCTAGTATATTATACTGGAATTTTTCGTGTTGCAGCAAAATAGTGGTTATTTTTCAATGATTTTGCATACGCTAGCTATTTTTCAATTACCAGTCCGAAAATTTGCTAGCCCGTGCTATTTTTACCTAAAAAAAATACTTTGGAGGTATTTTTGAATTTTTGTGGGTGATTTGAAGCGAAAATTATGAAAAAATAGATTTTTAGAGTTTTTAAAATTTTCTAAAAATTTCGAAATTCAACTTCTAAGTGAAATTTGTTATTTTCATTGCCAAACAATGATTTTGGAAAAAAAAAACCCAAAAATAAAAGTAAAAACAAAAAAAATATGGCCAAATGGCCCTTATAAATTTTGTCATTCATTTTAAAAAAAAACTCAAAACAGTAAAATCTTTTCTATAATCCGAGAGAGATTGAGAGAGAAAGTGAGAAAGAGAGGTATAATAAGCACAAGGTAACACAGTGAACCGTGGAGAAGTATTTTTCCGCTGTTGCAAACGTTAGTAGCAAAATAGCTAAATGGTAATGCTCATCAGATTCAGAGGCAAAGCAGCTCTAGCTCTATCCGCTCACAGTTCCAAATTTCACTGCAATGGCTCTGGACACCTCCTTTCCTTATACTGTTTCAGATCTCAATTTCTCTACTCAACAACCTCTACCCGTAATCGTATCTCAACCCATTTCTTGATTAAATACCTGGTTGATTCTCTAGGGTTCTCGAAAAAGGAAGCAATTTCTACGTCTTCCAAGCTAACTCCACAGAAAACCATAAAAAATCCCGATTTACTCCTCAATTTCTTGATACAAACCGGTTTTGACGAGACCCAGATTAAAAAATTGGTTTTTCGAGAACCCAGATTGCTATACCGTGATGTTTCCAGAACCCTAATACCCAAACGCCAGTGCCTTGTGGATCTCGGGTTATCCGGGTCGGACCTGGTGAGTGTAATTGCAAAAGATCCTAATTTTTTTGAGAGAAGTTTAGATACTCATTTAAGACCTACCATTGGTTGTCTCAGGAGAATTTTGGGTAGCGATGAAGATGTTGTTAAGGCTATTAAGAGAGCTGTTTGGTTGCTCTCTTTTGGTACCCATCATATTATGGAGACTAATGTTTTGTTGTTGAGAAACTATGGTTTTTCTGATTTGATGATAAAAAAATTTGTGCTTAGAAATCCTACTTCTATTACAAAAAACCCTGAGTGGTTTAAGGATTTGTTGCATAGGGTGGAGAAGGATTTCCGAGTTACGCCTGACTCCACCACTTTTCTATATGGATTTCGTGCGTTAGCCAGTCAAAAGAAGTCTACGCTGGAAAAGAAGATTGGTATTTTCAAGAGTTTTGGATGGTCTTGATGATCATATAGTCGAGATGTTCAGTAAGCTACTCATTGTGTTGCTTTCTCAGAGGTTAGAATTGAGAAAGCATTGAATCTTTTCATGAAGGAGCTCAGTTTTGAACCTTCTTACTTGGCTTCTCGTCCATCAATTTTGATCTATAGTCTGGAGAAAAGGGTGATACCTCGGATGCAAGTCTTGAAAAATTTTGGACGAAAAGAAGCTTAAGAGGAGAAAGTGGGCTCTTTATCCTGTTCTGGTGTTAACAGAGTCAAAGTTCATAGACTATTTTGTGCTACCCTACAAGGATCAGATACCTGATCTGTATGAATCGCACAAAAAAACTCTGGCTCCTTAGTGCTCCAAGATATTTACTTTATATATATTTAACTTATTTTTTCACTCACTTTTATTTTATTTGATATGGTGATGATATGAGTTGAGCTTAAACAAAAGAAGTGAGGTTTCATATAGCCGACTCCAACTTGTTTGGGTTTGAGGTGTAGTTGTTGCGTTGGCTCGAAAATGTCCTGTTCATTTTGCATTATTTGATAATATACTTAATTGGTTGGTTCTAAAAAGTGAGAAACCAGAAAATGGGAGGTTCTACGTTATCCATTAATTACGGGTGCGGGTGACTCTCTACCTATTGCATAGGTCCGCTTCCGGTACAAATTGTGTAAAATTCAGGGCGACTCGAAGAAATGGTCTGTGGAATGGAATTGCTGCTTTGCTTAGTAAGAGTCTTTGTGGACATGATCATTGCGAGTTTTGGCTCAACTTGGATATCTTCCCCAGAGACAGCTTTCTCATCTCAGCTTATACAGGTTTGGTTTGGACAAAAGAATGGTTCCTAGAATCAAAATTTATTCAGAACTTTGAGCTGGATTTATGAGGATAAAATTCCTATGAATTCTATACAAAAAATGTAGGATAACACCATAACTCGAGAGCATCTTTTAAACAAGGTGTATTTATTTCCCCATTCCGTATTGTTGCATTTGTTCCTTCTTTTCCCAAACTATCTGATTAGTTGTAGCGTTGTCAAAGGTGTGTTTTATTGTTGCATTTGTTCCTTCTTTTTCCAAACTATCTGATTAGTTGTAGCGTTGTCAAAGGTGCGTTTAAAACACGCTTTTGTGGGCGTATCAGTGTCGTATCAAGGTTCTAAGGTATCCTTTTCCTTGCCAATGAGTGTAATCGTGAAAAGATGACACTAAACAATTGATATTTCACTTTATCGTAATTTTTTCAATTTCTTTGTTCATATATTGGTTTTGGACTGCATATACATATTTTTAGTTTTTCTCAAGTTGTGCCTTTTTTCATTATAGCCCACACGTTATTTGTTTTGAGATTTTCAGCTCCTATAATTCTCATTTTTAATATCTTTTGGTGTTTCCATCCATCATCGACTCTAAATCAATTACGTATATGTTTCAAATATAAAATTTTGTGTAGGGAAGAGTCATGCCTCATGAATTTAGAATTTTAGATAAAGTATACTTCATTGGATAGAAAGATCAGAAGTTTCAAGAGTTTTGGATGGTCGGATAATGAAATACGCGACATATTCAGGAAACTTTGTATTGCTTTCTCAAAGGTTAGTATTAAGAAAGCATTGAATCTTTACATGAACTTGCTTACTTGGCTTCTCATCCTGCAGTTTTGGCTTATAGTATGGAGAAAAGGGTGGTACCAAGGTATTCTTTCAATTTGCAACTTTAATTTTGATCAAATCACCCAAAATCTGCTATAAATGATCTCAAATTTAAAATAAAGCTTTCCAGTTTCAAATACCAACACAAATAATCCTCAATCACCAATTTAGTTTAATAATACCAAATAAAAAAAAGATCCACCTTAACCCTCAGGGGTTGGCCTGGTGGCAATTGACTTGAGCCTTGGAGTTTGCTCCCTTTCAAGGTCTCTAGGTCGAAACCCACTGGGTGCAAACAATTTCTGAGGGCCATCGGACTGGGTAAAACCTGACTTAACCGTGGTGCACTTGCGGGAAACTCCTTGCCGAGGGCCTGTGCACCCCCGGGATTAGTCGGGGCTAAGAGACTCGGACACCCGGTGCAAATAAAAAACAAAAAAAAAGATCCACCTTCTCTTTTTCAACACTTTCTAAGATCCAACAATGAAGTTTTAAATTTTTTACAGTAAATTACTAAATCGGTGTTTAAACTAAACATTTTAACATAAGTTTTCAACATTTGTGATAGGATGATGATATGAGCTGAGCTTAAAGAAAGAAGTGAGGTTTCATATAGCCGACTCCAACTTATTTGGGCTTGAGGCGTAATTATGTGTTGGCTCAAAAATGTCCTGTTCATTTTGCATTATTTGATAATATACCTAATTGGTTAAGTTCTGAAAAGTGAGAAACCAGAAAATGGGAGGTTCTATATTATCCATTAATTAAGTAGAAAAGCAAGTGAATTAATTACGGTCGGAAAAACATTATTTTACAATGGTGATATATATGCCAGGTTATATGATTGTCTCTATAATGCTTTTTCCTGGTTATCTTGCTGAAATGAGAGGAAACTAAACTACGCTATCTGATATCTTACAATGCTGCCTTATTGAGTTTGTCATGGGTTTTATAATTTATTCTACCAATATGTTATACGTTTGTAGTTCAAATTGATTTGATTGCGAAAGAACTATATTGTCTTTACAAAATAATGGTTTTCCAAGTGATCAAATTGAGAAACACTTTTGAGCAGTGATTAGTGTTTGGCTAATCAATTTAAAAATTATTTTTGGGCAGTAATTAGTGTTTGATCAAGCTAATGTATTTTTCTCAAAAGTGCTTATCTTAAAAGTATTTTTGGGGAGAAACTACTTTTTTTCTTTCTCATAAACTGTTTTTGCTTCTACTCAAAAGCACTTTTTTTTGTTCAAAAAGCTTGGCCAAACACCTAAACTTTGAGGAGAAAAAAATGCACTTTTGTCCAAAACTAAAGCTTGGCCAAACAGGCTAGCTTGAAGCAGGGGGAGTTTAGGCGAAGTGAAATATACCGTGTGTGCAGATTTGCAGATTTGGGGCCACATGTCCAAATCATATTTTTTTTTGGCTATGTACATAATAATATATTTTGATAAATAAAATTATTTAGTTACCAAAGAAAAGTCAATTTAAAAGATAAATTGTCCTTAAAGTGGGATTAGTAACCTAAAAAAGGTGTTACTTGCTGCATCATATCATCATCGTTACACTATATTGAGTGTTATAAATAGAATTTTATTTAAGGTGAATATCTATATTTAGAGAGATTTTAGGGACTATTAGGTGGTTGCTAGGTCACTCTTTCCCTATAAAGAGAGAGGTTTTATTCCATTGTAATTTATCCCAAATCAATAAGAATTCTTTCTCTCTTATTTTTCATTACACGTTATCAGCACGAGACTCTACCATCTAAAGAAGCTCTTTGAGAAGACTAAGCAAATATAGATATCTCACAAAGTAAACTTGGAACTAAGTTTAATTGTAAAAATATATGTTTAGTTGACTCATGTACGACACATACTATCTTCAAAGAGAAGAAATATTTCTCTCATTTAAGTATGTGTAAGGCATATGTTACTACAATTTCTGGTAATAGTAATTTAATTGAAGGCTTTCAAAGAGCTACTATAACTCTGCCTATGGGAACAACGCTTATCATAGATAATGCAATATTCTCCTCCAAGTCCAAGAGGAACTTGTTGAGCTTTAAAGATATTTGCCGAAATGGATACCATATTGAAAAAATAGATGAGAATAATCTTGAATTTCTCATCATTACCAAAAATGTCTCTGGCCAGAAGAGGGTTATTGAGAAGTTCTCATCTTTATCTTGTGGCATGTATTGGACAAGAATTAGTACAATTGAGGCACATTCTATCGTAAACCAAAAGGTTATTGATTTCAATACTTTTGTACTTTGGCATGATCAATTGGGACATACCTGGATCAATTATGATGAGACGGATTATAGAAAACCCAAATGGACATCCATTAAAGAATTTAAAAATTCTTTTAAATAATGAATTTCTTGAACTTCTTGTTATCAAGGCAAGTTAATTATTAGACCTTCACCAACAAAGTTCGGGATTGAGTCCCTTGCGTTTTTGGAATGTATATACGGGGATATTTGTAGACCTATTCATCCACCTAGTAGGCCGTTGGATATCTTATGGTCTTAATAGATAAATCTACACAACCTCGCGTTTGCAAAATTAATGGCACAAATAATTTGATTACGGGCATAATTTCCCGATAATCCAATTAAGTCTATTCGACTTGATAATGCTGTTGAGTTTTCATCCCAAATATTTAATGATTATTGCTTATCAATTGGGATAAAAGTGAAACATCATGTAGCTCATGTTCACACTCAAAATGGCCTTGCAGAATCTCTGATTAAATATCTGCAATTAATAGCAAGACCGTTACTTATAGAAACGAGATTGTCCACTTCTGTTTGGGGTCATGCCATTTTGTATGCAACAATACTAGTTCGTCTCAAACCGATAAATTATCATAAATATTATCCGTTGCAATTAGTTGTGTGTCATGAACCTAACATATCCCATTTAAGAATTCTTGAATACGCAGTGTATGTGCCAGTAGCACCGCCATATCGCACCAAAATGGGTCCCCAAAGAAGGTTAGGAATATATGTTGGATTTGAATCACCCTTCATTATTCGCTACCTCGAAACATTAACGGGGGATTATTCACTGCTCGATTTGCAGATTGTCGATTCGATAACACTTTTCCCAAAATTAGGGGGAGAAAATGATGAAACCAAACGGAAAATTTTGTGGAAAAATTCATCATTGTCTCATCTTGATCCACATGTCTCTATTTGTGAAAAAGAGGTGTAAAAGATCATTCATTTACAGAGAATAGTAAATGAAATGCCAGACGCATTTACAGATCTGAAAGGATAACAAAATCACATATCCCTGCAGAGAATGTTTCAATCCGTATTGATGTTCCCGTTGGACAATCTTCTAGTGTCATAACTAATGACTCAAAAGCACGCCTAAAACGTGGCAGACCATTAGGTTGTAAGGATCGGAATCCTAGAAAAGGAAAACAAATGATCAAGATGACACTACGAAAGAGTCTCATGAAGAAATCCACGATTTAACCAATCCTGAGATTCACGAGGAAATCACTGAGCCCGAGACTCAAGAAAACAAGGAACTATCAATAAATCCAATCAATATTGAGACAAATTTTGAATCGACTAGATATAGTGGTGGATTATGTCTTTGCATATAATGTTGCATCTAGCATTATGAAAGATATTGAGGATCTTGAACCTCAATCAATTGGAGAATGTCGACAAAGGCGTGCTTAGCCAAAATGGCAAGAAACAATCCAATTTGAGTTGGATTCACTTGCGAAACGTGAAGTTTTTGGGCTTGTAGTCCAAACACCTAATGGTGTTAAGCTCGTTGGCTATAAATGGGTCTTTGTACGTAAGAGAAATGAGAAAAATGAGGTACAAAGATATAAAGCACGCCTTATTGCACAAGAATTTTTACAAAGGCCTGGTATCGATTTTGAAGAGACATATTCACCTGTTATAGATGCAATAATATTTCGTTATCTCATTAGTTTTGCTGTCCATTAAAAGCTTGACATGCATTTAATGGATGTGGTTACAGCCTACCTTTGTGGATCACTCGATAATGAGATATACATGAAAATTTTCGAGGGATTTAAAATGCCTGTCGCATATAATTCGAAGTCTCAGGAAATATTTTCAATCAAATTGCAAAGATCTTTGTATGGTCTAAAGCAATCAGTACGAGTGTGGTATAACCGTCTTAGTGAGTATTTATTAAAGGAAGGTTATATAAATGATGCCATTTGTCCATGTATTTTTATAAAGAAAACAACATCGGAATTTATTGTACTTGCCGTATATGTCAATGACATAAACTTTATTGGAACTCCTACAGAACTCCAAAAGGCAATTGACTATTTAAAGAAGAAATTCGAGATGAAAGATCTCGGAAAGACAAAATTATGTGGTTTGCAAATTGAACATTTGGCAAACGGGCTACACAGAAAAGGTATTGAAACGGTTTTACATAGATGGAGCACATCCATTAAGTATTCCGATTGTGATTCTATCACTTGATGTGAATAAGAATCCGTTTCGACCTCAAGAAAAGAATGAAAGCTACTTGGTCCTGATGTACCATATCTTAGTACAATTGGTGCATTAATGTATCTTGCTAATACAACAAGGTCTGACATAACTTTTTCAGTTAATGTCTTAGCAACATATATGATAGGTT